TCTGCCAGTTTGTGGACAAGGAGCAGGAGGAGGGCAGGTGAGCAGCCGAGCGGCCGCAGGGCTCCGAGCACTTCCTGTGTTTTTACTGTGAAACAGTACAGCTGGGCATGACGTTTAATCTACAGCCCAGCTCTGCGAGTCTGGCCCTGCTGCTGGAGAGCCAGTGTCTTAGCCAAGCTCCCCGTGACGGAACCGGCCCAGTGCTTAACTGCATCGGTGCTGAGATCCGGACTCTCCTGAAAGAGTCCTGGTCGGTCAGAGTGATGGGAGGGGCCGTGATGATGGGATCTGCGCGAGAGATGAGAAGAGATCGTATTTCAGCGCCCATCTCTGGTACACCTCGCACAGTAACTCACCAGCTGGTTGTGAGGGAGTCCAGGGGTGGACCAACTTGGAGGGTCTCGTTTTGGAGCCCCCCCCCTCTGCTGAAGGCTCTACATGTGTAGCAGGAGTGGTCAGACACTGGGCTTCCCAGTCCAGTTCCAGCAGGGTTCTGCGTCGGCTCTGGGGTCTCACGGCCGGCCGGCTGCGCTGAAGGGGAGCAGCGACCCCCGAGTTCTGATTGTCGTCTTGTTTTCCAGAAAACTCTGCGGTCTGACCGAAGCCCCGAAGTAGGGGGCTCCCGCCCACCCCCTCGAGAGGAGATACGTACCCCACCCCACCAGGCCCTGGGGGGGCATACCTCACCAGCACACCCAGACACACCTGACGAAGGAGACACTGTGATGAGCCCTGATCTTCATTCCAGCTGAGCTCTCACTCGCTACTTTGCAGTCATTGCTGGGGTTTAGGCTGAGCAGCTGGATTTTTCATGTGCAACATTTTCCTTTGCCACTTGCAATCTGCAACATTTTATGAGCTAAAGTCTACAGATGTCTAATAAAGCAAGAGGCATCGATCGTTTCACCAGTTGAGTTAAGTTACTGGACGCCCTTAGAGGCTCTGTGTCAAACCCTGTCAGAGTGCCTCTGTAGCGCCCCCTGGTGGAAGAGCAAGGGAGAATCGTGCATCTTGAAAGACCCGCTGGGCAGCAGGTGAGGGGATCGAACGCTCGGGGCTTCTCTCTTCGTACGTCTTTAGACTTGACGCCTGTTGTTACTGTACACCAGCAAGAACAGCGTAGAAGGAAAATAAAAAGACCTTCACACAGGGGACCGTGTATTTGTCGTTTCTGCCGGCAGCGGGTGTTTGTGGGAGGGCGGGGCGAGGGCGAGTTCACTGCTAAAGGACCAGCTGTCCCCCGGGGGCCTGCAGAGCCTGGTCTTCCGGCTGGGCAGGTCAGGGGACATTCCGAAGTCTCCCTCCTTTCTAATTACCCCTCGGTTATCCCTTCCGCCCCCCTGCTGGCAGGGCGTGCCCCCCTGCTGGCGTGCAACAGGCCCGGAGGGCTAGGACGCCCTGCAGCAGAGAGCTCTGAGCCCTGCTGGTCTGGCCTGCTGCTGGCTCCCGTACAAGTGCGTCTGTGTGCTTTAAATATTGTTTTGGTTACACGTCACGCCATGCAAATTTTTACAGGAGGCTAAGATTTCTGGTAGCTGGTAGCAAGAAGCCTCTGTCTGGCATTACAGTTTAGACTGGATCAGACCGCTGTGCACTGGGAGTCTGACTGCACTGTAAAACCTGGAG